AAATTTTAAGAGGTTTCAGAGATATAATAGGTTAAAAGAGGCAAGTAACTTGTGATTACAGTACCTCAGTATGACATGAAGTCATTTCTCTCACTTTGAATAACTGGCTAAATTGACAACTAGCAGGCAGTGTTTCTCTTAAGGGATGTGGATAGAAGCTGTCTTACTGAAAACAGTAGTCACAGAGAATCACCTAGTGGGCTTAAAAGACATTTCTTTGTCACTTAGTATTGTGTCCAAGGTGTACCTGTGAAATGAGACAAGAAGGATCAGAAGGGCCCAAGTGAATGGCTTAATTAGCACAGCCACATGGCCACCTTCAAAGGGCTTCTCTTTGGAATAGTTCCTTCCTATTGAGAATAGAATTCAATTCTTCAGAATAAAATTGTAATTCACAATTATAAGAGGTAGTATAAATTATAGAATTGTCTAATCAAAATATGTACATAATATTTGCAACAAATTTCCCAAGAGAAAGATGACTATACTGAGGTTGTATTTTTGTGAAAGACTGTTCATATCAGTCAACATTTTCATGAATATTTACTGTGTTCTGACCAAAAAAACATTCTTTAAAAAAAAAAAAATAGAATATCCATTTACTTGCCTTTAACTTTCAATTTTTGAGGTAATTACATTTCACTTAAAAAAAAAAACAATGGAAGATGTAGAAATTACTTAAATATATGAAAGTCCCTAAAAATGAACACTGTTTACTCAAATATTAAAATAATTTTATACAAAAAATATATTCTTTTAGCCTTAAAGCACAGATTATTTAAAGAGAGAAAGGGCTTCTAGTGAGATGAAATAGGTTAAACGGCAGTTATTTCAGTAATACACATCTAGCATGTTCTTTTTTGCTGGCAGGATTAGGGATTAATCTCAGAGGCACTCAACCACTGAGCCACATCCCCAGCCCTTTTGTGTATTTTATTTAGAAACAGGGTGTCACTGAATTGCTTAGCTCCTCACTGTTGCAAAGGCTGGCTTTCAACTGTGATCCTCATGCCTCAGTCTCCCAAGCCTCTGGGATTACAGGCATGCACCACCAGGCCCAGGTAAACACATCTATTGTGTTTCAAATATGAGGTCTAACTTTCAACACACTTTCTCACATGTTTAGTTAGAGATTCAAAATATGATTAACTTATTTGCTTCAGACAGAAATATTTAAGTTCCCCAGGAATTTTTTTTTTCCCTGAAGCTTAGTTTTTGGCACAATCCTTAGAATATGACACAATACAAAAATTTACTAAATAGATAATTTTGAATGGGATAAAGATTTATTTTTAACCATCAGTACTTTTTGTAGAAAATTGAGTGATAATCTTCCATGTAAGGTGGCACTTGCCAGTAATAGCAGCAACTTGAGAGGCTGAGTCAGGAGGATCACAAGTTTGAAGTCAAACTCAGCAATTCAGTGAGATCCTATCTTTAAATAAACAAAAAAAAACAAATGAAATAAGGGCTGGTGATACAGCTCTGTGGTAAAGCACCTCTGGGTTTAATCCTCAGCATACACACACACACACACACACACACACACACACACACACACACACACTATATTAGGTGATAACTTAGTCTAAGTACATATTTGATGTTTACCTTATACTACTTATTCATTGTGATTCAAAATACACAATTGGGAAAGAGGCAAGAAAACACAAATTTAATTAAGATAATGTTGCAGCATACCTAAATAATGAAAGGCACCTCTGTTGAATAGATATCACATGCCAGGAGTTATGTCTAACACTGTCAAGCTCATTCACTCATTGAATTCTGAATAGAATTCCCTGGAAGGGGCATCATTCATTTTTACAGAGGAGGATCCTGAAGATAGGTAAGTAATAAGACTCCCCCAATATGAGAATGGGTGGGGGACCATTATCCAAAACTGCACCTGTCCTTTTCACAGCTCTTACTCTCTCTACCATCCCACGCTGAACATAAAGCAGTCTGTGCGGCCAGCTTCTTTTCCAGGTAAGAAAAATCAAGCAAAGTTAGAAAACCTCCTTGGGTTTGATTTTTTAATTTTATGTAGACTCTGGTTCTATGCAGAACCAGCAGCAGAGGGCAAGGCCTTGCAGAGATGGCAGGAGAGAGCACATTGAGATCAACTGAGCACACAGTTAATTAATGGGAAAGAAGAGTGTGACACTGCGGCTGACTTCAAAGGTGGGACTTGATGCTCCAATTTCTGTGGAAGCTGGGACAGTAGCAATAGGGAGAAGATGTCCACAGAATGCTGTTAAGTGAAGAGATCTGCAAGTGTAAATTAAAATGCAACCATGGGGAATATAAAACAATTTGTTCAGAGGGAGTACACAAAGCATGCTTTCCTGTTTCAATATAGAATCATGCTTATTTAAACTATGTCCATGTATTTTTAAGCTTATGTTTAAAGTTACTTAGAAAAAAATTATGTAAATAACCTGGCATATTTCAGTCATAGAAAAAAATATATTTTAAAGTGCAGTTTTGTTCATCTGTAAATTCACTGTCATGTCTAGTGAGGTACAAATCAAAAGCCTATGATTTATTTTGACAGCTCTCCTCAGGCTACACATGGCACAGTCCTGGTTAAGAGTCAATGGGAACTTATTTCATTGACACAACCATTAAGAAGATGCAAGGTTAGGTATGTGGTATGTGGAAGCAGTGTAAGACATTTGGGTTTAGAATCCAAAGACTTGATTTTGACAACCTATTCTGTTACTTAAAAGCTGTGTGAAGATGCACATGATTTAAACATTTTGATTCTAATGTTCCCAGACAAAATAAAAGGAGAAAGAAAATAAAAATGCTTTGTAAATAGGAAGGACTTACATACACAATATCTATTGTTGTTATTTATTGATCGATCAAATACTTTTTGAATGCTAATTTCTATGCCAGCACCATGCAATATGCAGAAAATATACAATAGACTAGGTCTCTGTCTTCCTGATACTGAAAAGTAATGGGAGATAAAGATAATATATCTGTATTATTCTCCATTAGGAGCATCCCAGTCAGTATTATCAATCATATTCTGTGCATTAGTCACTATTTTAGGAATTTTGCTTAATTCATATAATGCTTTGTACAAACTTTTTCTTTCAACTACCATTAGAGTTATATTCAGTCTGCTATGGAAAGAGTTGAAGACCGACTTAATGACTAATTTTCAGAAAAATCATTGACATTTTAGAGATAACAAACTGGAAGGGAATATAGCACAACAAGGAGAACAAACTATGACGCTACTTTAAGGATCATAATGAGAGATGTATTCTAAAAATATACAGAGAATAATTCTAGAAATATATCAGAGGTATAATCAATATTATTTCATAATTGGATGTTCTGACATTGATCATGAGATCAAAGAGAGGCATAGGTAATACTGAGATGAGAGGAAGATGGGAATTTTTTTTTTTCATTTGAGGCACTCTTTAAGGTACTCACGGAATGTGTAAGCAGAATTGTCAAGTAGGCAGTATAAGACATGTGCTGTGAGTGTTCTGACCTGTTGAGTGATAGGTGATGACAACTATGATACAATCTGGAGAAAGAACAGTATTTTAGAGAAGAGCAAAGTGAAGCCAGATCCTGAGAATAAAAAAAAAGTGCTCAAATATGAGGGATACTAAGTAAACACCTGAAGAAAGACGTAAACTGGATAGAGTATTTCAAGAAAAATATGAGTTTTAGAAAATACTGGTACCCAATAGGTCCAGTTTAAGTGAGTTCATAGAGATTTCCTTTGAATTAAGCAGAAGGAAAAAATATTCCATGAATTAAGCAAATGGAAATTGTTAGGTGAGATATTTTCAATGGAATATTTAGGGACAGAGATTCCATCAGTTTTTAGAGCAACAAATGAGAAAACTAATACAGCAAATGTAAACAAATTTCAAAGAAGAAGGGAGCTTGGAAAATTTGGAGACTAAAAAAAGAAAAAACCTTATTTTCGTTTGTTTTTTTGGCCTTTTCAAGTTGTCAAAAGTGTAACAAGAGTAGGACCAATCCATGGACTTGGAGAAGTCGGCAGAAGCACAGCCTCATGATGAAAGAATAGTGACAAATAACCTGAGAATCAATCTTGACTTCTGCTGGTTTCCAAAAGTAGCTGGACAGGTTAGTGGCTTTGCCTACCATCCTCCTCTCCCCCAGGATAAGTGTTCATTTACCATGTTTTAATTTTCCATTATATATGTTTTGTCTTGGATATGAGGTATCCCCTAAAAGATCCTGTTAATGCAGGAATATTCAAAGGTACACTGTGATAGCTGTACCCTAAAAAGGTCATCCAGTATGAACAGGTTGACTGGATGGTAATTATAGGCAGATAATTACCTATGGCTAGAGGAGGTAGGTTGGTGGGAGAATGTCTTGGAAGGGTTGGTCTTCCTGGCCCCATCTCCCAACACCCTCTCTGCTTTCTGATCCTGACAGGAGCAGAGTAGTTTCCTTCAATGGGCTCTTCCTGCATGTCGTGTTGCTTCACTTTGGATCCATAACAACTCAGTCAGCCATCTATGCACTGAGACCTCTGGAAGCATGAGCCCCAAATAAACTTTCTCCCCTCTAAATTGTTCTCATTGGGTTTTTTGGTCACAGTTATGAAAACTATAACTAGAATACCATCCAAGAGCACCTGTCTCTATATGTTTACACTGATTTAGGCTTGACCTGGATTTCCAAGCCATCCAAATGAATCTAAATAATTTGTCATGTAGAGAGCCCTTTGTAAGAACTATCTAAAGACAGAGATTTCTATATAAAGAAAAAAAAATACAGAAAACACCTTTGAAAGATGTCATGTGGTGGGGAAGAAACCAATATACTATTTTTTTTTCCTATTGGTTTTACATACTTATCTATTTACACTTTCAGAATGAACATTTCTACTAACAATTTCCTGAGCCTGGTGACAATTCACAGGCAAGAAATTGTAGCATTATGAGCAAATACTTTGTGTCATCAGGCTGCCAACAGGTAAAAATGAAACACTTTTCACTAAAGGTGCAGACTCCTTGTGAAGAGCATTACAGCCTGTGAATTAAAGAGCATTCCTCTGCATGAGACATGTGTTCAAGTGCAGAACTTGAAAACCAGGCCTTGGGTTTTGCATGGAAAGACAAAGCTATGATTAAAACATGACAACTCAAATGACATTTTGACAGAAAAAGAACAAGACCTGTTACCTTAAACATATAACCATGAAAGGTAGGCAAAGGTGGAAAAATTTGAGAGTAGTATGTTTATAAAATATTGAGTACGTTCTTATACCATTTTCAAGATCATATGAACTCAATGGAACATACTTGTACTGTATGGGGACTGTTGGGTATTTTAAAATATGCTTTGACACCTAGATAAATAATTTGCCTGTATATAGTGATGCTTAAAATTTCCTTTGGTAACCAAGAGATAACTTACTAGAAAATCTCTGGTGCTTCTCTTCACTGCACATACTATGTGAACAGAACTGTTACTATGCATCAGCAAAAAATGACCTCAGTATATTTAGTTTTTCAAACACTAAATTTGATTTAGAATAAATGCAGTACATAGAACACTAACCTTTGCCATTGTGGTGAAAATATAACAGAAATATATCATATCTGGCCTAAAATATGTAGTATCAATACAGAGTCAAAATATTTTTAATTACATATTTTATTTATTACTTATTTTTCTACCATGTACCTCCCTAGGCTTTATTTCCTCTTAATTCTGAAAATGTCATTCCTTATTTATGTAATGACTGATCAAAGCTTCATATGAAGTAAAGTTCAGATTAGAAAAATAGATCTTGAGATTTTTAAGCCCAATTCATGAAAAATTAACAAGGTCAAATATTGTTTTCAATATTTTCTTGGATAAAACACAAACAATGAAATTGAAGACAGCATAGTACTTAATATAATTCTTAAAAAGAAAGTTATCCAAATTGTAACCAGCCCTATAACACTAGTTAAAATTACGATAGATTCTGAATATAGTTTAAATATTTTTTAAAATCTTTTTTGACCTATTTAAATGTTTTATCATCTTACAACATATACAAGAAATTCCTGTATTAGAATTATATTATAGCAGATGATGATACAATTGAAAAGCAAACAGGTTTAAATCATCACTGTTGGGAGTATTATTTTTTCTCAATATTCTTCCTCTCGGAGATATGGACCACGATAACTGGCATCTAAAATATGGTAATCGATGTGATAAAATCCTAGAAAGTATTATGAATTAAATATAAATGAGCCAGACCCCAAAAGGAAGTTACAGAAAACACAATAAATGCTTTATCAGCACTAGACCAAGCTACATTACTGAGAGATTGCTGACATTGGGAAAGATCAGGCATTAATACTTAAAGGAAGTATATAGATATTTTATTATTTTTGTCTCAATATATAAATGAATGTGGAATCCTGAAACTGGAGTGAGCAAAGTGAGAGTCTGTGGGCCTGTTGAGCATCTGCTACCTTGTCAAGACTGTCTCCTTGAGCTAAACTGTTGTCCAGGGACAACTGCCGGCAGCTACAAAAATCATCCTATGGAGACTGCCTGCAGAGAGAAAACTCCATACTGCAGCTTGTGTTGAATGAGAGCTACCTAGTGTCTATGAGATGCCAGTCAGTTTCAAGACACTGAGATTACTGTAGAAAAAGTAAGTCCATAGTTTAGCTTTACTGGTATACTAAGTAGACTAAAACATTTATTATTCCTTTCTCTCTCTCTCTTTCTCTCTCTCTAGATTATATATAATTTTCTTCTAATCCTGACATCAAATCCAGGGCCTTGAACATCTTAGGCAAGGTTTCTTCCACTAAGCTACATTCCTGACCTTGATCACATTTTATCTAAGTATTCTAGAGCTGGATTTCTTACCTGAGGCACTATGAATACACTAGAGATCAGATAATGCTTTGTTGTAGGGAGTCATTTTATACTTGTAGGGATGTTTATAGCACCCCTGATCTCTGCCCACTGGATGCCAGTAGCATCCCTGCTCCCTGATTATGAAAATAAAAAAATGTCTCCAAATATTTTTATATCTACCCTCAGGGACAAAATTTTCCATAGTTGAGAATAAAGGGCAAGGTGCTTTATACAACAGTTCCCAATGAACTGTTCTAGAGCAATTATTTTTGAAATATAACAGAATTTTGTATTGATTACTGTTCACCTCTGGCTCAAAGTTGTATTATTTTAATAATACCTGATATAGGGAACAAATGAAGAATAGATGGTGAAAAGAATAAAGTTATGATTCTATGTGCTAAATAAATGATAGATGTTATTGATTCATATCAGAACTTCTAACCTAATAGGAAATATGGCCTCATAACATGTTCTTCAGTCTAAGTTATTCTTTAGATTTTTTTTTTTTTAAATGGTACCAGGGATTGAACTCAGGAGGACTCAAACACTAAGCCACATCCTTAGCTCTGTTTTGTATTTTATTTAGACACTGGAAAAAAACACAGTGAACAAAAACAATGAAACTAAACAATTCACTGAGTTGCTTAATGCCTTGCTGTTGCTGAGGCTGGCTTTGAACGAGATCCTTCTGTCTCAGCCTCCCAAACTGCTGGGATTACAGGCATGTGCCACCACGCCTGGCTTTTAGAGTTTTTATTTGTCTTTAACCTTAAAATTGGTAAAGTAAAACATATAAAGTTGCTGCTTTAAAGTGCTTTTCTTATAAAACCACTTTTTGTAAGTAAGGAAAAAATATGCTGGATATTTTAATAGAAACTTACAAATGATGCCCATTGTGTTAAATTAGCAATATGAATAATTCTCCAACAGTCTACCTAACTCAATATAATTTCCTTATTTATAGCATTTTCTGAATGTTTGAAGTTTTAAAATCCCAATAAAAGTGTTTAATTTTTATTTAACATTTAAAAATAATCATAGGTGAAATGAATGTTTGAAGATTCTAAAGATACTGAATAAAGTTTTTAGCTTCTATAATTAATGATAAAAATCTATCCACTTGGAAATTTTTTTTTCTCTGTAGGTAATCTACCACTTTATATTCAGTTGCTTTTATTTATTCTTTGGTTTCCTCAATTTTACTAAGATGGCTTTAGGCTTCATTTATTTTTTGTTTATCCCGTTTAGAAATATACATGCCCATTTAAAATTAGGATTATATATGTATATACAGTCTCAGCCTTGAAAGCTGCTGGGATTACAGGCGTGTGCCACCATGCCTAGCTTTTAGATATTTTGATTTGCCTTTAACCTTAAAATTGGTACAATAAAACATATAAAGTTACTGCTTTAAAGTGCCTAGTGTAGGGTATTTCATTATAGCACAATATGGACCGAGACCACTTATTTCCTTCACATACAGCATAACTTTATATGTATGTGTGTGTGTGATCACTCAGGATTGAACACAGGGTCGTGGTATGACAGTCACACTCTGCCACTTCAACCTGTTTGCTCACGTTTATTGCAAATCTATGTTTAAATTTTTTACCCACATGAGAGTTTTACTCAAATCTGGGTCATTTTTTTTATAATATATTTATAGCAAATCTTATAGGAGTCTATCAGTTCCAGGCATGGTGTTATATCAGTGTCTTAGTTCATGGTTCTTGTATTTAAAATGTTGTAAAAGTTCAGAAAACCAAGCCTATAGTTGATTTAGTTTTGGTTAGTACATATCAAGGAGAATTATTCTCTTTACAAACAAAAAATTATTTATATATCTATCAAAGAAATCCAGGAAAGTGGACAAGCTTCTTCAGGACAACAGGGTATGTGTTATCACATCATATGTATGCAGGGATTTTCAAAGGGGACCTGGTTTATGGGAAGTCTGTTTCATTAAACCCTTTTACCAAGTTCAAAACCCTCCCATCTATTTGAATATTGGCATCAAAACCCCAGTCATTAATTTCTAGCCACTCTTTTTAGTGAAATGCCCATCTACACCTTTGGGGTAGTAGACTGTGCCCTTGACATATGGTTTGAGTTCTAGCTCTGTTTCACCACATAGCAGTTTCTCTTTTTTCTCCCCCTTTGAGATTGACTATATTAACTTTCTTTTATTATAGTTGTTATATATTTCTGTATATAGGTGCTGCATTGGGAGCTAGTATGTTTGCTGTGTCACCATGACTTTCTACCTTTTACACTTAAATACATGGATCTAAAACTTTACAGTTTGGGGCCAAAATATTGAATAATAAATTTTAAATAAGGACGTACACTGTATTATAAATAAAGTGCAAGATGCTTTATACATCATCATCATCATATGTGAATCTATTTGACCACAGAAGGCAAAACCTATGTAACAAATGTTTCAAGAAAACACTCAAAATGTCGATTCCAATGTGTTTACCAAAGCTGGATGAAACCACAGTGAATAAAAACAATGAAATCTTTGTAACCAATTGGCAACACTTGTCCAGTCCCTCATTTCAGCCGAATACTAAACAGAGGATTAGAATACGCCTACAATCTAACCTGTGACTGTGCTTCACAATTTAATCACATCACAACATATATATGCCAGGAAAGATATATTACAACTACAGCTACTGTAAATCTAATTTTTAAAAATAGTTTATATTTAGTTGAGTAAAGGATAGAATTTGGTCATATGTTTTTCATAGCATAAACATGAAATATTTGAAACACTATCTGTAAGTATAGATGGAGAAGTTAATTAATGTCCATGCCAATTAGTAATAGATACAGACAAAAACAGGGTTTATTAGCTTATTCTATGTTTTATTTGAAATTTTTAAACTTGTGGTTTTATAGACATAAGATTACTGTTGATATACCTTTTTCTCTAATATCACTTATTTCTGATTGTAAGGATGATATGTGTGAATATTCTCATTTAAATATCTGATATATCCCCCTTTTCTCTCACACACTCACACACACTTATATATAGCAATGTGTTTAAATTTAGCAATTTAAGGGGAAATATATTTTTATGTTAGTAGATTTAAAAAATTTCCCAAAATTAAAAAGTTTCCTAATGAAAGTCTGATCTAAAATAAAATAGATCAATACCACATCATGGTTAATAAATTTGTGCATAAAAGTCAGTTTTTTACTTAATATTTTTAAAAATGGTATTCATTGCTAGTGTTTGTAAACTAAAATATTTAATATTATACTTTTATTCCATTGGAGTGAAAATTATTTTTATCTGTGTAGTAACTGTTTCCGCAATTTCCCTAAAAATCCATGTACAGCCTCAACTATGTGTTGTAGCTTCATTGCTCCCTCCTTTTGATATATTTAAGACACAGGGCTTGCCATTTATTTTTCCCCTTTTTAATTTTTCTTGCAGTGCCTGTTCTGAGTTGATTTGTGTCCCCTCAAAAGATATGCTGAGATTTTAATGTCCAATGCATTGGAATATGACCTTATTTGTTAATGTGATCATGGCAGATGTAATTAGCTAGATGAAGTACACAGGAATGTATGAACCTCTAATCTATTATGACTGATGTCTTCATAGGAGAGTAGAACATCATCTGAAGCAGGCATGTGGGCACCATATGATGAAGGTGACAGAAAAGGAATGATGTGCGACATGAAAAAGCCAAGGAATGCTGGGGCTCTCAGAAGCCACAGATACAAGGAGGGATCTTCCCCTGGAAGGTTTGGCCCGAGTATTGCCTTACCTCACTCTTGGATTCTGCCTATAGAACAGTGTGAATAAATTTTTAATTGTTTTAAACTGCCCAATTTAAGCTTCTTTGTTAGAGAAGGCCTAGGACACTATTACAATGTTGTAAAAAAAAAAATAAAAATTTCTTCATACACCTATTTTTATCATCACTGGAAAAATGAGCACAACCAAATGTTTATATGCTGTGTTTTGGTTGGTTTCATTTTGTGTTTGATTTGCATTACAATTTTGTACAATTTGTTACAAATGAACAGGAAGTTTTGACAGTATAGCTCTTATATATAAAATCACACAAAGGGATATTAATCTATACATACTTTAATAAAAGTCCATGTAAGTCAGGCATGGTGGCACATCTCCACAATCCCAGAGATTTGGGAGGCCGAGGCAGAAGGATAACAAGTTTGAGGCCAGCCACAGAAACTTAGTAAGACTTAAGCAACTTAGACTCTGTCTCAAAATAAAACATTTTTTTTTTTTTTAAGGGCTGGGGATGTAGCTCAGTGGTAAAGTTCTCCTGGATTCCATCCATAGTAGCAAAATTATTAATTAAATAATAATAAAATAAAATTTAAAATAAAAACTTAGAAAGTACATGTAAAACAGCTAACAATTTTTTGTTTGTGTATAGATAACAGCATAGTGAGAGGAAAGACAGAAATAAGGTGACTAGAGAATGAAGGATACACACATAAAATTAAATTCAGATTACAACTGGTTTCTGTCCTGGACATACTGTACTTTGTAACCCCCTTAAAAAGGGGGTGGGGACAGAGAAAGAGGGAAAAGAAAAAAAAAAAGCAAATCAAAGAGAGAATCCCAAAGCAATATATCACAGTGTGGCTCCTGAAGAATTAATTCCTGTCAGTTCTGATGTTGTGGACAGAATATGAGGGCATATCTGTGAGTTCAGCCATGGAGACATGCACGCAGGCTTTGATTCAACACCGAATGCAGTCCTTCAACAATTTACCAGCGTGTTTATTGGCTGCCACTGCATGCCTTGACAAAAAATGCCATCTCTTTCACTCAAGATGGCAGGAGACTAATGTTTGTTCTCATCAAAAAAGCCTATTTGGCTGAAAGAAGTGAACTAAAGATTTACTATCCACAGAGAATGTATTACCTCCCTTCTTTAAGGTGAGAAAAAAAGCAACAACAAAAAGTAATCCTGGGGAAATAAAAACAATAACCCTGGCAATATTTTCTAGGCTAACAGGAGAAGCATTTCAACATTTTAGGTATTTTTAACTTTGCTTTAAAACTCTTAGTAAAGTAGTGTAGAGGGATAAAGCACAATTCTTGAATCCATCACTCATATTCCCTATGAGTTACAGGTCTGTCATGTGCAAAAGATAGGTAGTCACCATTGCATCCTACCACTGTATATCCACTAGGCTTTACAACTATTAGAAGCTTCATGGAGAGCTGCTTGCCTAGAGAGAAAGCAAGACTCTCCTCATTAGCACATGGTTGTGATCTGCAGGGTAGCCAGCATTTGATTATTAATATGAACTGTTTAGGCCATTAGCTGTCACCTGTTTCAAAAACTTGTGTGATGCTGTTTAGCTTTGGACTTTCTTTCCTGCTGTCAAATTTAGTTAAAATGTGCCTCTGGGATCAAATGTCATAAGGGGAAATACACAGAGAAATTCACAGTCGGAGAAATTTCATGTCTTCTTTCTGTAGGAATCCAGATTGAAAACTAAATTAATTCTTAATACATACTATTTAGTATTAGCTTCATAGCTCCCTAAACCTTAGGAAAGAGACAATATTTATTAATAATGTCCTGGGGTTTTGAAGCCAGTATGTACTTTTATAATTCATTTTATCTCTTATGAAATAGCAGCTTCTATAAATTGATTTATTCCCCAGAATGTTTGAAGTTGATATCAGGAAGCTGTTTTTATTGCAGTTTTTGGTAATTACATTTAATTCAACTCTTCTGTTATAATTTTCTAGTATTAACAAAATACACTTGGAAAAATATTCATCTATCTTTTGCTTATGTTTATCTGAACACCTCTTCAACAGAATATTATACTCTCAAACATGCATTCTTGTGGGTAATTGATAATAAGTAGAACAGCAAAACCAATTCATTCCTGATTGTGTTTGCATACCCATTTTACAGAAAGAATGAAAAAAAATTAGAATTGGAAAGATTAAGTTTCTTCAATTCATAGCTTGTTTGTTGTTGTTATTATTACCAGGAATGGAACTCAGGGTTACTTAAGCACTGAGCTACTCCCCAGCTGTTTTCAAATTTTGACACAAGATGTCAATTACATACTTAGGGCCTCATTAAGTTGCTGATATTGGGGTGTCCAGCTTCTTAATTCTTGCCTAATGATTAGAAGCATACATTTTAACAATATTGTCAACCTAACTCTGCCACATAGGACAACAAATACTTAGTAGCTAAACTTTAATATAAGATGACATTCAATTTATTCAATTAATTTTAAATACTTTATTACTCTTTTAAAACTATTATTATAATTAAGTCATAAGCCATTAACATTTAGAAAAAAATTAGCCTTTTTAAAAGCTATTCCAATAACTTTTTGGCATTTTACCAATAAGAAAAGACCCAAAGGTACTAAGCAGGCTTGTCAATTTTGAAAGCTGAAGGTCAGGAGGAATGTTTTCTCTAAGGAATCTATGAGAGTAAAGATATGATGAATAGATGAGTAAAAAAATAAATAAATAAAATAAAAGTCCTCTAGAATAAGAACTCACCCAGCCAGAACACAAGAAGTCTTAGAGCCCTCTGGCAAATAAAAATACCACAGTGCCCACCTTGATGGAGTAGACTCTTTCCTAAAAGGCCACGTCACAAGTACATAGCCATGTTTTTGAAACTTCGATTGCTTTTTTAAATCTACAGCTGTTCACTGCTGGGGGATTTATTGTGATGTCACATAAGTAAAGACCATTCGAACTTTGAAATTTTTCCTGGGAAACAAATACATAGAATATTATTCATCTTCTATTTTGTTTTGTTGTGAGATTTTTGATGCCCTTGAAGTTAGAATGCAGTTTTAAGAGATAAAAGGCTAAATGTGATAATTCCTCATTTTGAAAAGTAAATGATTATGAAGTAGATGATGTGTTTAGACAAAACATTCATACTAGCCATTTTAATTTTTAAGGGAATAGTGCTGAAGAGAAATTTTTCAAATTAAGATCTAGTTAAATTTCAGATTTTTAGATTTACTCATGGCTGAGAATCTTACTCTTAATGGTATTTATTCCTAGGTATCTATTATAAACTTGATGATTCAATAGGTATTTAGGATGGGCAATTCACGTATATGCATGTTTATTAGAAATTGGTGAGGCAGGGAGTATTAAAAAAAAAAAAGGCATGGCTAACTAAAAAAGTTATTTTCTTCAGGTTGTTTCTGTCTGCTGACTGTTCTGGAAGATGCCTGGTAATGATTTTCCATCTTCAGGATAATCATTTTCTCCTGTCATTGGCCTCTAGCATATTTTAGAAGTACTCGTTTTTCCTGTAGACTCACTATTCTCCCTTCATCATGAGAATATTATTTTTTAAAAATCTATGATACAGAACACACACACACACACACACACACACACTAAAAATCAACTAATAGAGAAAACTAGGTTCTCATGCTCTTCCAGTTTTGTGATGGAGTAGATGAGCACTGAGGAAGAAGTGGCAATAATAAATCTTCAAAACGTCCTCTATGATTTGAAAGGGTGATCATTAGTCCCACAGTGATACTAAAGGGAAGAGACCCAAGCAATATGTTTTAGAAAGTGAGCAGAAAGTATTGAGCGATGGTTGCATAAACCTATTTTCCTATGCTCTTTTTAGCTCTTTAGAAACATTTGTTCCAAGTGTTGCAAGCTTTTATGCAAATGTGCAAGAAACTCTTATGCCTAAAGTAATGCAATAGGGACTATTCATGTCAGATTCTACCATTTATGAACATGACCTTGATAATAGAGAAGAATTAAATAGGGAAAGGATCTTGGGAATGACAATAGGTTCCTGAATGCTTGTGTCTGGCTAATTGTAACACCTGCCCCACACAATGTCTTCTAAAACACTGTGCAGAGCAAACAACAGTTAGAGATCTGCCACTTTCCAAGCTCAGATTTATATTATGTGAGTTGATAGAATCTGTGAAGCCCTCTGCCCTCAGAAGTATCTATGCCCTGAAAATTTATCAGTGTTACAACTTGTTTCTCTCTCTGATAGATTATCCTTTTACATGCAAATATTGTCTACTAGGATAACATTTTAAGTTTGAAACAGAAAAGGGGGAATTAATTTATTTGATTTTGTTCTTCCCCGATGATGAAGGTAAAAAAATTAGCTGGTAACATTTTCTAGAACTGTATATGTTGAAAGAAATCTTCTATTTATTATTAAAGACCTTCCTGCTTCCCCAAAGGATGAGGTACTTTAAAACAAAAGAACAGATATACTGAAATCATTAAATTTAGCACTAAGAAGAATTTATAACCAAAGTCTTTGTCTAGGAAACATTAAACATGAGAATGGACAGTATCTTCAATAGCACTTTTACAAAAAGAGCAGAGACATTCTTCATATAGGCATTTCATACACTGACCTTTGATAAGAAGCCAAGGGCATGGTGCCAAATTGAGCTCTGTGAAGACATTTCTGAAGGAGACTAAAGTATTATAGTCCTAGTATGTTCCATTCTGATGATCTGACTTGATACAGCATAAAGCCCAGAGAATCTAGAGACGCAGATGGGTAGTATGTCTAGAGGCTGCCAATTCCTCTGGAATTTTAATTGACTTAGTTATCGAATATAGGAAAATTGAGACTTCTGATGAGTATTAAAACTTATTATTATTATTGTTTTGGTCTTGCACACTGTTAGAAACCCCTATATTTCTAATAATAGCAAAAACAACAATGAAAATAATAATAGCTAATATTAATGACTCTCAGGCCAGGTGCTAATTTGCATGAATTATTGAAGGCTTCCAACAATCGAATGAAATAGATACTTTTCACATGGCAACCATTTTGCAAAAG